CATCAAATTATTAAAAAAAAAATTGCTTGTCAATTTAATTCGCGATTACTAGAGTAGTTTTAATTGCGTTTATTTAGTCCGGAAAAACAATTCGGCGCGCAGTTTGAAAAAGACTACAATATGGTATATATGCAAGTACATATATAGGATATATTAGTAATTCAAGATTGAATTATTTAAAGCAACGAAGATCCAGCTCGGACCGTAATAGGCAGTTACATTATATTATTAATTGAGTTTTTCAAATATACGGTCAAAATATAAATACATTATCTAAATATTAGGCAGTGTTGTGCAGAATTACAATTGAATTAATCCATAAGGAATTGTACATACAAAGTAATTCAATTACGTCGTAATTCAATTATATTGTGATGCGGTCCTTTATTTAATTAAATTACAATGTAATTCGTAATTTCAATTAAAATAAAATTACGAAGTATAATGTAATTGAGTTAATTAAATTAAAAGATAAGAAATTCAAATAGAAAGCAATTATTGTGAGTGTTAAAGAAGGTATTATTCATAAATTCATAATATTTTAACATAAATATAAGGTCTATATCGCATTTTCTTTAAATTCAAAGAAAGAGAAAACCGTACAGACAAGAAACAATAAGTTTCAATGATATCGTTAAAACTTATCGTCGAAAGATTATAATTTGTGAATAATAAATATTTGTTACACCTAATTATAGCTCGTGTATTGACCTGGGTTTACTATTTATTAAGTTTGTTGTAAGTTATACGAGCGAAAAAATAATTAATTTATGTTGTAATATTGAAAATATATGAAAAGATTAGGCAGACTGTTGAGAATATAAAAAAAATTATGTAATTCTCGTACAAATCTTTTATTAGAAATACGACTATCATTAAAATAAAAGATTTAATCGTATTCTATTTAACAATCCATTTAATTCCATGAATGAAAAAAGTCATAATAAATTTACAAGAGAGAAAATAGAAGTAATTAATTACTATCATGAATTATATGTCACAATGTTACATATCAATTATGTTCTTCAATATTAATTACTCATATTTGCATACAAAATTCAATATACAGGATGTCCTAGAATGACCGCCAAATGTTTCATGCATAGATAGAGCGGACTAAACTAAGTTGAAAAATTCTCTACCATTTTGCAATTTTAGCAATACTTAACAAGATTAATTACTAAAGGTCGCCAAATATTGGTCTTCAATAATTTTTTTACTAAAGTACTATTAATTTTACAGAAAAACAGCAAGAGACAAAAATTATTTATTTTCTTCTTGTAGAGTTTTAAGAATTTTAAACTTACCGCAACCGGCATATCGTCAACCACGTACGATGTTCATAAACGTCTTGTCTAATCAAACCC